CTCATTCAGGTTTGTGCTGAGGAGCAGAGAAAGCATCCCGGCATTCAGCACAGTTCACGGTTGTGGCATGAGGGACGTAATGTCTCTGTTCCCTCCTTCAGGGAACAAGGATTACATATGTACCTGAGACAATCCCTATCAGTCAGTCACATTTGTCGTTACGTTGACACTGATGTTAGGGGTCCCTATGGAAAGCGCCACAACCAGAATTGTGTTACAAAGACTGAAGGTGCAGGTGCTGACAAGCAAGCGTGTCAGGACAGATGCACCTCAATCCATAACCTACCCAATGCCCTATAAGCCAGATAACTTATCAAACACACAGGCTTACCAGGGAAACTGAAAAAAGTGTTGTTCTAACATTCTCACAATTCTAGATTTCAGCAACTGTTGGGGTGCGGACACACATCCAAATAGGAATGTGAACAGTAAGACTGGTTACAGCACCGTCTGACAAACTGTCATGACCCCAGATCAGGAGAACACAACAGGAACTGAAAATACAAAAACTGTTTTGGGAATACCTTACCGTGGAAGGATATACAGGATTACCAACGGAATCTCATGTATGGAACCAAGTCTAGTAAAAGGGGTGACAAATGGCATGCAACCCAAATACTAGACTCAGCAACAGACTCCTCCACTAAGTCTGAATGCCACAGGATGTTGGAGGAATCGACCAGGATTCACCAGATTAGGAACCTACTGGAAGAAGATAAAGCACGTCTCAAGCACTGGGTGCATTCCATGTAAATCACAACGCGCGAACGGGACACAGCAACACAAGGGCTGGATCTGCCTCCTCCAAGGGCAGTGCTTGCAAGTTCACCACCTGGTCTGAAAGGGAGTGGTAGGAACTTTGGGCATATAACGGGGCCGGGGCCACAAGATAACGTGAGAATCAGCTGGCCCAAACTCAAGGCACGATTTGTTGATCGAAAATGCCTACAGTTCCCCAACCCTCTTTATGGATATGAGCGCGACCAGGAGCTTCCGGTCTTAAATGACAGGAATTTGAGCTCAACTGAGCCAAGTGGCTCAAAGGGGGCTCCCCACAGTCCCGTCAGGACCACATAGAGATCCCTAGAGGGAACGAGGCGCAATCTGGGAGGATTTAATCTCCTCGCACCTCTCAGGACCCTGACGATCAGTTTGTGCTTCCCCAAGGATCTACCATCCACTGCATTGTGATGCGCCACAATGGCAGTGATATACACTTTCAAAGTGGAGGGGGACAGCCTCCACTCCAACTTTTCTTGCAGGAAGGAAAGCACAACGCTGGCCAGGCATCTCTGGGAGTCCTCTGGGCGAGAGGAACACCAGTCAATGAACAGTCCCCAATTCAGTGCATAGTTCTGCCTGGTAGAGGGGGCCCTAGCCTGAGTGGTAGTATCTATCACAGCCTGCGAGAGGCCTACAGTGTCCCGTCTAGAAGCCAAACGTGCAGGTTCCACAGATCGGGTCGTGGGTGCCAAATAGTGCCCTGCCCATGAGAAAGAAGGTCCCTCCTCAGGGAGATTCTCTAGGGAGGGGCTGTCGCAAGGAGCAAGAGATGGGAAAACCAGGTCTGGGGGGGGGCATACTTGTGTAAACCCCAGGGCCAGCAGTGTGCCGCCAAAGCCAGGGGCTGCTCAGCAAAGTCTTCAGCATCAGAAGATGATAGCCCCTCCTATCCCCAAATAGGAGGAGCCCCAAAAGAAACACTGGGTCCGCCTCAGGATGGATCGACGCCCCAGGAACTCAACGGCGCTATGAGGCGCAGGACTTCTGTGGAGGCTGGCCCGGTGGAACATTCTTGACAGTAATCCTCAGGTCTCCCGTGTCCCTAACCAATGCGGCCCCAAGATCTTTATGACCAGAGGAAACAGACTGGGTAGAGCTCGAGGGAAGCCTCATAATGAACGAGAGCCGCAACCTCAGTGTAGCCATGGACATGAGCTCATAGTGCGGGCATGAACCATCCACGAAAGCCATCTCAGCATGCTTGCGGCCCAGACACGTGAGACAGTGATTGTGTCCGTCATCAGATATAAGGAAACTACTGCACCCAGAAGCACACAGTTGGAAAGACATTCGAAAGACACTCTCGACCATGCAAGCTGTAGGAAATTGCTCTTTTAGACTGGAAAGCAGCTGAGAATCACCTGCAGACTGAAGGCTTCTTTGTTTCTTGATGACTTCTCTTGATGAGAGAGAAAGCGCTCACGAAGTGATCAGCTCCGAAGAAAATTGCTGAATGAGTGGATGCACGCCGCCATCTCATATACCCGTATGTACGGGAAGTGGCTTGGCATGCAAATTCCACTCGCCAATTGTCATTGGATGTTTCTTGTAATGCTCAGAGGTGATTAACGTAACGTCATTGTCGATGTAACATCAAATGTGACTGACTGATAGGGAGCTTATTCTAATACGATTCATCCCAACTGCGTGTGAGATTTATTCATAATACAGTTGAACTGCAAAAGAGGAGTAAACGGTAAATTTTTTTCTAATGAAATGGTAATGCGTTCATACAGAGCAAAAATGTACAGTATGAATGATTCAACACATGATGCTGCTGTTCTACAAGCATGATCTTATCGCAGGGAAGCCGGCTGCAGTCCTGCAGTGTGGTGCAAAGAGTGTTTTCTCTTGCCAGTACACTTGTGAAGATCATTGTTTATAGAAGTAATATAAGGTCATGCTCAAGAGGAAAATTCTCAGGTCACAGAGAATATGAACTAATACCAAATGCTGTTGGACTTCATGCGAAACAGTGAATGTTTTCTCACAGTCAACTCCTTTGGATTTGGCACAAAGCAGTACAAAACATTACTAAATGCACATTTGAGTAGATCCACATAGATCCTAAAGAGAGCCGTCATTGACTAGAGGCATTTTTGAGTATAGTTAATTCAGAAGAGATGCCGGTTTAAAGTGGTTTGCTATTCATTATGCCATAACTGCACATTTCCTATTAAAATATACACCCAGACACACATGCCCATGATCAAACACAAGAGGGGTCAAACACAGGGCTGAATCTCGTGCAGACAGGAAATCAAGTGCCACTCTAAATGGCAAAACAGAGGTAATTGGAAAGGGAAGTGATCTGCTCAACCAAAAACCTTTGTGAATATTTTTCCACTGCCTTTCCACAGCCTCCATTTATTTTCCCTCCATCTGTTCATTCATCATAGGACACACTAATCTATTCATTATTCATCCAATTAGCTGCTGCTATTTCTTTCATCCATTCCTCCCTCTTGCCTTCTCTCTTACCGATCAGTCACCCTCCGTGCTGCCTCTCGGCATCGTGCAGGAATAGAGCGGTGAGCACCGGGATCAGGGTGGGGGTGGTGTACGTTATGACCTCACTGTCTCCCCTGCTCTGGGCTCGGTTTAGTCCATACTCATCCCAGGTCACATTATCTGCCGTTAGCCCGAGATCTTCTGCAGCGGCTTCAAAGAAGGACCACAGCAACGCCCTGACGGATTCATTAGTGGTTTTCATTAACATCCTAGAGACAAACAATTATAGAAAAATTAGAACGACTTTAGAAAAAAGGCTCTTACACGCACCAAGGCTGCATTTATTTGATAAAAAATTTTTTGGTTAATAAAATGAATGAGGATTGTAAGCATTCACCTCAGCACTACAAGACTGGGGTGAGTGAACCATGGCAGTGGATAATACTGAGAGTGCATGAGACGAATACAAAGTGCCTCTAAATTAAAAGTGTTTCAAGCAAAATAATCAAGCAGATTTTGATTACAAACAAAAAAGAAAGACACAAAGGAGTATGAAGAAAAAGACACCAACTCTTACCAAACAGAGAGATTATGCGTCTGGCTAGAGCTCCGAGTTTACAGAATAAACTAGGAAATAACAGGACAGAGGATGAGGGTAAGAGAAGGAATGAGGGAAATGAATGGGAAACAAACAAGACAGATGGAACTGAAAATATATAATGACAGAGTAGCAAAGGTGAACATGGAGACACAGACATGCAATCAGCCATATGTGTGTACGCACACAAGCGCGCACACACACACAAACACAAGTTTCTCCATCTTGGTGAGGACTTTCCATTGAATTCTATTGTTTTTTAGAGAGTAAATAGTTTTTTATAAAAACACTTTTATAAAATGACTGAGGACCATTGACTTGAAAAACCTGACCCACATAATCACATGCAAATGTAATGGCAGTCTGTCATCACAAATTACCTTGTGGCCATCTCTTTTTCTTTATTGGTGGACTGGCAGCCATCTCTAAGTGAACACATTGTAGTGGAGAGGAAGTAGAGATTGTGAATTTTGAAGTATTGATCTAATAGTGGCAATACAACCTGGGACAGAAAGAAAAAGAGGCTTGAATACAGACTAAACAACAGAATAAAACAACAGTTACCAGCTGAAGAAATGTTCACTTCAGATTTTTGTAGTTAGGTTTTGAAGATTGTTAGTGCACATTAATGAGATTGATAGTTGAGGAGGTCAGGGAACTGCTAAACGTTGTTATTGATCTTCATGTGGGAATGAAAGACTCTTAAACGGCATGCAGCATATTGTCTCAGAACAGGGATGGATAGCAAAAAAAAACATGATGTCTAATCAATAATGGGATCAGCAGTGACATGACCAGTATGAACAACACAAAAGCCATAATTATCTGCAACTACACAAATTTGCCATGACAACTGTGATTTAATTACAAAAACGTGTAAATGTTTATCGCAAAGCTTTGAGCAAGCTGAGACTTTCGCTTGGTTATCACTTAAGATACAATAAACAATTCCAATATACAAACTACACATCTGCAGTGTCTTAAAAATAATCAAAAAATCCATTTCATTTGAATAATTATTTGGAGTTCAAATCAGGCAGTTATTTAAATATGTCTGTCATTCTGACTCAGTTGGCTGCTATGCTGTAATGAATGCTCATTGATTTCAGTTCTGTTCCAAATGTCTGACCTGCAGTAAAGATAACTGACCTTAATAAAGAAATGAATTTGTCGCTCAAGGGGAACTTTCTCAACCCTGTTAATCTGCCCTCGAGCCTGAGCACCCTCTGCAAAACCCAACACATATAAATTAAATTAGCAGATTTCTATGCCAGGCATTAACTTGCTTCAGACATTATGAGACCACATAGCTGAAATTAACTGATATCATGATCATTTTAAAGAATAGTTTGCCCAAAAAAAATTTTTTTATTCACTTGCCAAGGCAACTCTAACTGAAGTTGTTTAATGGAAGTGTAATGTAAGTTGTTTAAATTTTTAATAGTTTTAGTTTACAATTACATCACTGATTCCCACTTCTACATATTGAACATAACGTTCATAGTTGAATATCAGAATCAGAATCAGAAGAGTTTTATTACCAAGTATGTTTACACACACAAGGAATTTGACTTGACGACAGGAGCTTCCAGAGTTGAAGAAAGTACAAACATAGTGCAGACATACATGATAGTGCAGACATACATAGGAATAACACAGTAGGGATGGAATATAACACTAATATAAGAAAAATAAAATAAAACATCAGACATTAAATAATGTACTATATACAGGAATAGAAGTATAGGAAAAAAATTTAATATTTAGATAAATGTACAGATACAGTATGTTATAAGTGTGCAGATATGTTATTTACAAAGTGTGCAGTTTAATATTAATATGTCAGATAACTATGTCAGTTGTGATGGACGATGTATAATTATGAAAGATTAATTGTTCAGGCTGAATATAGCCTGTGGGGAAAAAACTTCCTTGTGCCTGGCTGGCCAGTGCTCTGTAGCGCCGACCAGAAGGCAATATCAACATTGGCTCTATGAATGCTAGTTAGATTGAATGACTTATAGACAGTAAATGTTGGTTTGCCCCTCTCATAACACTATTATATGGCTTCAGGAGATTTGGACTACTGTTAATGATTTTTCAAGCATCCAATTTTATTATATAAAAAGAGCTATGTGAAAAAAAAATGTTCATGCGAATTTGGAAAGGCACGAAGATGATTAAATAACACAATTTTCATTTTTGTGTAAACTATCCTTTGAACACCCCTTTCAGTTTAGTGAGGCCTTGAAATTACAGGGCAGTTAGACAAAAAGACAGATGTGCAAATAAATAATTGGAGAGAAGTGGAGCGGAAGAACAGGGGAATGTGTGTGTGTCTAACCCAGCTCTAGTAACTGCTCCTGGGCTTGCTCAGTGAGACAGAGGGCTTGCTGGAGCAGGCCGTAAGCGAAGCGGCTTGCAATCGTTGGGGAATCAGCATCTGCCCCCTTTCTGTTCCTGTGCAGTGAGAATCCAGTCAGTAAAAATGAAATGGACACTTCAAAGGCATGATACTCATTCTACTATCCAGTAGCAGGAAAGGATCCTCACCTCCTCACTGAGTACCCATTGATGTGGTAGAACTTGAGAACATCTTGAGTTTTGTCTCTGACTCGACTCTTGTCTCAGAGCATACGGTACAAGCAGAGTGTGACTGCCCCCTCCTGGACAAAATCAGCATCAGTATTAACAGGGGCGGATTTAGTGATTTGGGGGCCCCAGGCAAAATACAGGAATGGGGCCCTATACAATTTCACACATTTACAACCTTGAGGTTCCTTTCACTGTTGCTCGCTGCTGCACGACCGTGTCCCATAGTTGTGTCTAATCTTTTAGATTTTTCATGTACATGTTATAAATAAATGCTTTATTTAATGTTGTAAATCCCTTGTTCACATTTAAACAGGTTAAAATAGTATTAGAGTAGGTTGGACACTAGGGGGTGCGTTGGGGTAATTTTCACTATGCAATTGTCTACACAACGCAAGGCTGTCTAATTCTAAACTTTAAAATATACATTTATTTTTTATTTATTTTAATTGCACATTTAAATTAAACTGAAGGAAATTATAAATTTACATGCTTAAGGATTATTTCAACCAAACATGAAGGGTGCCTTTGTGGGAAAAAAAAAAAAAATAGGCCCTACCTTTGCCTAATGGTTAAGTCCGCCTCTGAGTATTAACAGGCTTTGGCTTTGCCATTGTTAAAAGAGTTTTATATAAGCAATGCATTATAATTAATTAAAGTGGTGACAGTTATTAATTCCTGCTCTTAGTTTGCCTTAGTAATTAGTGCATATTATTACACAGCTCTCCGCAATAGCTGACTGTGACTTGTCATTCTAGGTCAAATATTTGTGCATAATGACTGCTAACTAGTTTATTTAAAATAATCTTCCACACAGATTCATGTCTCCCATATTACTCCACAATCTATAGAATCTCAAAGTTTCATGTGCATTTATTTATTTATTTTGTAAAAACCTGTAATACTTTTAAATTAAATTAATATTATTTATTTTTTGTAATAATCAGGATAGTGCACAATCAGCTGGTCATTATAGCAAATAAATAAATATATACAAATTTTTAAAAAAATGTTCCAGGGTGCCACTGGTGATTACTCTACAACACTATTAGTTTATAAAAGTAATTTATCCCTGTGATGGCAAAGCTGAATTTTCAGCAGTCATTACTCTAGTTCCTTCAAATCCTTCAAAAATAATTGCTGATTTGCAGCTCAATAAACCTTTCTTATTATTGTCAATGTTGAAAACAGTTGTGGTACATTTGTTTCAGGATTATTTGCTGAATAGAAAGATCAAAAGAACAGCATTGTAACATTATAAATGTCTTTACTGTCAATTAAATTTAACAGCCTTGCTGTGTATAAGTATTAACAGTGTTGGGGGTAACTCATTACAAGTAATGCGAGTTACGTAATCAGATTACTTTTTTCAAGTAACTAGTAAAGTAACGCATTACTTTTTTAATTTACAAGAAAATATCGGAGTTACTTTTTCAAAAAAGTAATGCCAGTTACTTTGTTTTCCCATTTATTGACTGACAGCTCTCCTGTCCCCATATTGGGAGAAATCGGGAGTTATTAAAAACAATCAAGCCCTGCTTATATTTAAAAAGTAACGTGAAAGTAACGCAAAAGTAATATAACGCATTACTTTCCATAAAAAGTAACTAAGTAACGTAATTAGTTACTTTTTTAGGGAGTAACGCAATATTGTAATGCATTACTTTTAAAAGTAACTTTCCCCAACACTGAGTATTAATAATGATTTTTAAATGGTAGTGTATATATTGTAGCATCTGGACCAATCAAACACACAATTTTTCATTTGATTTAACAAATCAGTTATTCATTAGATCCTGTTCAGTGTACATCCACACCTCTTCCACACACCACACACCCAGTATTCCTATTTCACAGTGTTTTGTTTCACTGTAATACGCAGGTGGCTGCAGGAACCCTAATTTAATTCACTGTATCATTTCTCACAGCGGCCCATCTGTAACACACACACCTTTACTCTCCAGTTCCTACAGTTTCCTGGCTGCCCAGATGTGATGATAATTCTCAGCCAACCGCTCTGCCATGGCCTTCAACACCAGATTGAAAGTGCAGTTATTTTTAATCCTGTTATTGTACAAAACTGGCTGGAGGTATATAGGAAGCATATGAGGCAATTTCTAAAATGACTTCTAAAATATGTTCTGTTATTTTGATAAAAAGCTATTCTATAAAAGTTACTTAAATAAAAGCAGTAATCAATGGTTCATGATGTAATCTCCTCTTTGGTCCCTGTTGGACTGATTTATATTGTATGGAATTCATTGAAGCTGCTTACATACTGATCCCAGGTCAGAGTGACGCTGCTGGTATCCACAGGCTTTGGACTAAATGTGGATGCTCCTTCAAAAGACAGCTATTAAAAGACAAAACACAATTTATGTTCTCCATAGAAACACAATGCATTTATCTGGTTTGATATCAAGCATCTGTCAAACCCAAGCACAGTCTGTTTTGAATGCATCCCATGTTTTCTGAATAAGCAATGTCTTTTAAAAGCCTAAGAGCTGTTAATCCAGTCTTGGCGAGCACAGAAAGTCTATTCTGAATCCCAATCGCTTTGTGCCACGTGTAATACAAAACAGCTGTAAGTACAATTTATGCAGAAAGAATTTGCCTTGATGCACAGTGGTCAAAGTGGAAAACAAAAACAGCACATTATTGGTCTACTGAAATGCTAAAACATTTTAAGATATCTGTTAGCATATGTACACACCGAACATTATGGAAAACAATTATACAAATAAAAACAATTAATAATATTATTTAATATCAATGTAGTATTGTTTATAATACTATACATATTTCAATACACTTTATTATTAAATGCTGTCCTTCTAGTTCAAAAAAGTGGAAGCAAAACCACTGAATGTGACTTATACACATTTGGTCTGAGTTGTGACCCGTAGGGAGAATTTTGGAAGCACGTTTAAGCTTTTATGGATATATTTAATCATTTCTAATGCTTCAAGCATGGACCAGCACCGTTTAGACATAGAGCAGTTCTCTGAAAAGGTGTCCATTACCATGCCAGACTGTGAGATCCTCCTAGCTGGGTTGTGAAAGCCTTGTGACTCGCCCTCATTGGTCCTCTCAATGGTCCAGCCCAAGACCAGAATGCATTTCACCGTCTCTTTAATGACCCCTCGATAACCTTCTTTATCCTAAAATACAGAGCAACCTCACTGTGTGACAATAAACTGCATGTTGCTTTTTTATTTTTTTGAAAAAATATTGAATATCTGATATTGTTATTTGTAATGTGTCTACATGCTTTGTGTATGAGGAGAGTTAGTTACCTTCTCAGATAGAGCTCTGTAAGGTTTTAGGAGTGGATGAACTTTTGCACTCTCAGAAAACTGTTCTCCATAAACCCAGCCGTTACCAAACTAGAAAAGAATTATTAAACACAAATGGCTTTACAGAATTCCCAAGGTTTCCACAATATTAATAGGGGTAATTCTCAAGCAAACTCCTGTAATAAGTAAAGAAACTTTTTGCCTTGTCCAGTGACCATTTCTCATGTGTATGTTCAGCGTATTTGTTCACCACAAACTCAAGCATCTCTGGGACTATGACACTATAAATAAAAGAATGAAAAAAAACTGGATTGTCATTTATTACATATCGAGTAAAAAGCCATTCACACTACACTTTTCAGAAAAGGATGGAATGAACTTGTATATCCAATAAACAGCCACTCACACTTCACTTTTCAGAAAATAATAAAGCAAACTTCTGAAATTAGTCCTGATCTCAGAAGTTCTCAGAAGATCTCAATGCTAAATCAAGCTCAAGTGGGTCTGTTTCCGCTGGTTTAGGATGTGCTATGGACCTTTAAGTCTATAGAAGTCTTACTTTGAGGTGTCCAGAGGTCGAGGACAAAACCGTCTCTCTGAATCCATCGCCGAGTGTCTCTCTTGTCCTCCTGTGCAGCTCGGGTCAAGGTGGTCAGGAGGAATGGCCCCAGCAACTGCACTGAGACAACTCAGGGCCAGTTTGAATAGGTCTGCATCGTAAGACTGTGGATGAGATTGAAAAAAACATTTTGAGTGTGCAATTCAAAATGAAAATCGAACAGTTTGATGCATAAAAAAGAACAGTCACCCTATCCCACAAAAATCCACTCTTTTGTAGAAATGAATTGTCGGGTCACATAGTTTGAAATGAAGGAGACTTTTCTGTCTTTTCTCACTTTTTTGGCAAGAGCACTGAATATCCCCCAAAACAGCCTTCTTGTCAGATGAAGTTCTTCCTCTGAGGCAGAGCCAAACACAACCCCATCCATCATTCTGACAGTAGTACTTCCTGCTCTGCTCATAATGATTGGTCAACAGCTGAAAGCAGAAGTGACCACAGTGATAAGTAGAATTGCTGCAAGAAAACATTTTTTTTTATTATTTTGTTAATTTAATGTTTTCTCTTTAGACCTTGAGTGGCATTTTGGAGTTTTCTGATAGTTGAGGGACGTCAAACACAAGATTATGCAGCAGAGATTGCAACATGGAGGTTTTCTGTGGGAACAAAGTAAATAAATAGAGGGTAATAAATAAAAAGACCTATACAATATGAAATTATTTCTTAACATATGATCTTAAAAGACCAAGAACAGGCAGACAAAGATACAATGACTTCCACTGTAATGGTCTATTATTTGCAGAACTTTTTTAAAACAATCCCTATTGTAAACGTGACAATTATATTATATTTACTGTATAATAAAATCAATGCAAAAAAAGCAAAAATTAACATCCTCACCTGCACACTGCCAGCAGACAGTCCTGGATGGCGTCTTTCTGGACCTTTGTCAGTCCACTAGCTTTAGATAGGCTGTAGACACCCTGCAGGAGCCCGTCCACCAGCCCAATCCGCAGTGAAGAGGAGTCACACAGCAGAGAGGAATACTTACTTAGCAATGGCAGCACAGCCACACATATGTTTCGATTTAGGGCCAATGCCATATCAGTTCCACCTAACCCCGTCTGCAAAGAGAGAATATATATATACACAGAAAGTTTAAAGAACAGCATTTATTTGAAATAGAAATCTTTTGTAACATTATAAATGTCTTTACTGTCACTTTTGATCAATTTAATGCATCCTTGCTATTTCAATATTTGATAATAAAAATATTTATTAACCCCAAGCTTTTGGTAATGTGACTTGTGTGTTTTGCTAATATCTTCAGTTTTGCAACTACAGGACCCACACATCAATGGTATGGCCTGTTTTAGGGGTGGTTGAAATTATATTTTCTTTTTAAGTTGCATTCAGAAAGAGCTGTTGAAACATGTAGAACAGAGAGAGCTGTTGGAATAGGACCCCCTTAACCTTTATTTTGGCTTCAATCCTTAATTAGGGGGTCCACAAACTCAAGATTTTCAGTAAATAAATGACTTAAATTTCAGATTTATTCCTCACACAAAACAATTGCTTGACTTCAAAAGACTTAGTGCATGAGTTGAATTGCTTTGATGATGTTTTATGACATTTTGGAGCTCAGAGCTCCATCCCCACTTGTTTGCATTAAATGGAAAAAGGCACCAGAGATTCAGCTAAAATTCCTTTTGTGTTTCACAGAGGAAAGGTCAATAAAAAGGTCATATCAGCTTGAAATGACATTATTCACATTTGGGTGAACTTTTCCTACATATAGGGCCCTATTTTAACGATCTAAGCGCATGGTCTAAAGCACACGGCGCAGGTGCACTCAGGGCGTGTCCGAATCCACTTTTGCTAGTTTAATGACGGGAACGGTCGGCGCGCCCGGGCGCATGGTCTAAACGGGTTGTCCCTATTCTCTTAATGAGTAATGGGTGTTTTTTGGGCGTAACGTGCAATAAACCAATCAGAGTCTCATCTCCCATCCCCTTTAAAAGCCAGTTGCGCTCGCGCCATGGCGGGTTCGCTATTCACATGGCGGAATGTAATTTTTCATATTTAAAAATGTTTGTGTGCCGTCACTGTGTGTGTAATAAGCAAAGTGTACGCGTGTAGTGCACCCACCTATAGGCGCATATTACGAACGCGCTCTTTAAATAACAAAGAAAAAATATTGCGCCTGACTTTAGACCAGGTTTGAGTTGGTCTATGGCACAGTCTATTTTCAGTTCCTCAAAATAACAACCCGCCAACAATGCACCTGAACACACCTCTTTTTTAGACCAGCACGCCATGGGCGCACAAATGGGTGCAAATGCATTTGCTATTTAAACAACTTTAAAAATGAGAACTGCGTCAGGCTGAAACTAGCAAAAACACTTGCGCCGCATTGCGCCAGGTGTATGATAGGGCCCATTGGCTGATGTTTCCGCCATGGGATAAAAAAGGTAATGCAAATTTTTGTCTCCATTTTTGTTTTGGTCTTCTCTCTTCCCTCTCTTTTAACAGCCTTTTTTAAATGGGGCATCTTCCCTCTTTAAGAGAGTTTGCAATCTTCTGTTCAGTGATATATGAAAAGTATGAGAAAAAAAACTTGTCAGACAGACTTGTTAAAGGGACCACAAGATTTCAACACGGCTGATTTGAATAAGCCTCATCAGCCTTGATGCATTTACACTTACACTATAATTTAGCGCCGCATTGCGCCGGGTGTATGATAGGGCCCCATAATGTCTGTCCCCTTACAGCATCCATGTTAACAGCCGCTCGCAGGTCCGGCAGGAAACCATTCTCCAGCAGACGTAGCAAGAACTGCTGGTCCTGAACTCCGGAAACCGGTCCAAAAACAGCACCATGGCTGCTTTGTGATCCGGACAAAATATCCGAGACATGTCAGGCTCCACCATTAGATCATCTGAGTATAACAAGCACAAAATACTTTCAACCACCAATTAATCACTTTTAGACTTAAAAAACCCTACTACATATCTTTGCCAGCAGCCACGAACTAAATGTACTTTGTTTATTTAAAAACTGAGCTCAGGCCCTCTCATTACACTGATTTCAGTTAACAATCAAATACATTTAGAAAGATAAATCAATAGTCTGGAAAATAATGATTTTTACATCATGAATGTATATTTTACGCACACACTCATACGCACCTGTGTTTACAATTGGTAAACTAAAAGGAATATTGATGATTCCCTCCAGATCCTCTCTGGGGACGAGAGACCTCAAGATTGCCCTTATTCGGATGGCCTCACCTTTCCCGCTTCTATGAGCTGCAGGCCATTTACACACACAACAGAGACACCCATTAGCAAACCTTGAAGAACCTTTCAAACCTTTAATGAAAACTGACTGTGCCTTAAAAAGTAGATAAAACCAATAAGCCCTCTCCAACTCAATCCTTCAAACACATTACGAGGCTCTTATCTAGCTTTCCCAGCGGGTTTCCTGAAACACTTACATGCATCTCAGGGGCGCAATGACCCAACAGATCAATGAGAGCAGAGTAGAAGGTCATTATGGCGTGTCCCATGTGGATGACATCATCATCTTCATCATCAAGCGTGTCACTAGAAGTGCAGGTGAGAAAGAGACATGGGCATGAGCGAGAATGAGAAAAACAAAGACAGGATAAGATCGAATCGCAACACTCACAGCATCCGGTTGGAACTGTGTGTACTGGCTGCACTGGTTCCATCCTGCAGGTGGGAAATTCTGATGGCTTCCTCCATGGTTGCTAGAAGACCATATCCCCCTTCCCCTTGAAGGGCGGGGCCAAAGCACTCCGGTCGGCGAATCAGAAGCCTCACTACCACATAGGGGTTCTCCTCAACACTCTCACCTGTATGAGGAGAATAACCAATCGAAACCAACCAGAGGTGTTTAATTCGGTTTCACCAGGTCTGGATTCAAGATTAAAGCTGCTCATTACCATTGCAAAATACTTCAAAACGCAGGAAGTCCAGGTAACGTTCTCCCTCCACAGGATTCCAACCAATATCTGGGTATCCTTTGGAGACCAGGAGAGTACAACTACACAAACCACAGCCTCCCAAATACTGCACCACATGTACAAACAAAAAACCGGTACAGACAGTTCAATATCACCAAAAGTCAGAGGGGATGTAGAAGAGAGATAAAAGAATCAGTCAGTGAGACTTACTTTCTCCAGATCCGCTTCTGTAAGAGCAAGCGCCAGTTCGTTGTTGTCCATGACAGAAGCGGCCGTCACATCCAGAGGAGTCGATCCTCTCATTGAGGGAGAAGCTGATAAGAAAAGAAAAAAAAATCACATTTACTTTTGTCTACTTCCTTAGAAATGTTCAGGTTGATGGTTGCTTATGAGTTAAACCAGATCAGTATTAGTATAAACATACCAAGTCCAACAATACTGTTGTCCAGCAGGTAGCTGAGATGATTTCCTTAATGAGGCCAGAGGATAAGAGTTAACAGAGCACCTCACGGGAGTGAATAAATCAAAACACTGCACTTAATGCAATGATTAAGTTCTAATTTGAGTGATTATGCAGTTGGCATTTTACAACCATAATGAACGCATAAGCTGATAATCACTGCAAGTACTTGATGTTATTATGATTACCTTAGATTCTCTAGCACCAAGGACATTCACCATTACTTCCATGATGGTCTTGTGCATCCCCAGAGCTCTCATCAGATTAGGATGCTGATAGAAAACTTTATTGTTCATAATGTCACTACACAAAAGAAAACACAGGTCTCAAATTGAGAATAAAACTGCCTTGGACATGGTAGTCCATCAGAAATATTGGATAATTTAAAAAGTGAAAACTGCATGATGGGATGTGTCAAAATAAGTAATTCTAGATGTTTTATGGGTACACTATTCAGTGCCTGATTAGAAATATCACTTTATGATGCATTTGTGCTTAATCCTAAAAATACACTACTGTTCACAAGTTTGTGGTCAGTAGAATTTTTTATGTTTTAGAAAGAGGTCTCTACAGTAAAAACAGTACTATTATGGAAAAAATGTAAAATAAAAATATAAGAATAAAATACATTAAGATTCCAATTTTAATATATTTCGAGATGTATTTTATTCCCATGATTGCAAAGCTGAATTACTCCAGTCTTCAGTGTCACATGATCCTTCAGAAATCATTTGGTGCTCAACAGTTTTTTTTTTACTTTTGTGGAAACTGTGCTATTTTTCGCTACATCGATTCGCTACAGAAGGCCTTTGTTCACCCCCCGGAGCCGTGTGAGACACTTTTTTTTTATGGATGGGCGCATTTTAATTAAGTGATTTTGGACTGATGCATGCAACACCCACTGAGTGCCACGAAACAGCTTGAAAGATCAAAGACAATTTTTAATATAACTCCGACTGGATTCGTCTGAAAGAAGAAAGTCATATACACCTGGGATGACTTGAGGGTGAGTAATTTATGGGCTAATTTTCATTTTTGGGTGAACTATCCCTTTAAGGGTTAGTTCACCCAAAAATGAAAATTGACTTGTGTTTTACTCACCCTCGAAGCATCCTAGGTGTATATGACTTTCTTCTTTCAGACGAATCCAGTCGGAGTTATATTAAAAATTGTCCTGGCTATTCCAAGCTCTTATCATTGCAGTCAGCGGGTGTTGCAGTTGAACAGTCCACAAGTCGTCAAATAAAACATGCGCATTCATAATAAAACGTGCTTCACCCGGATCCGGGGGGTGAATAAAGGCCTCCTGTAGCGAATCCATGTGTTTCTGTAAGAAAAATATCCATATTTCAAACGCAATAAACACTTTTCTCTCACTTGAGCTGACTGTCATACGGGGAATCCGTTCCGGTGGATGACGCAGCACGTATGCGCAGCGCGCACGCCTGTGAGATATGCTAGTTTCACGAGTTTGTTTATAGGAGCAAAGGAAGCAAAGTTGCCTTACTTTAGCAAAGGAAAACCAGTCTCCTCTTGGTTTATATCGAAATCCTCTGAAATTTTTCTTTGCAAATCCTCCGTTTGTACTTCTAATTCATGACCGGCGTTTTGTTTTGTTCTCTCTCCATGTTCGTCACTAATCACACGCCGACGTGCTGCGTCATCCACCATAACGGCTTCTGCGTATGACAGATGGCGGAAGTGATAGAAAAGTGTTTATTATGTGTGAAATATGGGTATTTTTCTTACAAAAACGCATGGATTCGCTACAGGAGGCCTTTATTCACCCCCCGGATCCGGGTGAGGCACGTTTTATTATGGATGCGCACGCTTTATTTGACGACTTGTGGACTGTTCAACTTCAACACCCGCTGACTGCAATGATAGAGCTTGGAATAGCCAGGACAATTTTTAATATAACTCCGACTGAATTTGTCTGAAAGAAGAAAGTCATATACACCTAGGATGCTTCGAGGGTGAGTAAAACAGTCTAATTTTCATTTTTGGGTGAACTAACCCTTTTTAAAGTGGGAAAGAAAGGGTTTTTCCATATTTGGTAAGTTACAGTGGAGTAAGCAAGCAAGGAAGAAAGAAAGAAAAGAAGAAAACAAAAGCATCAAATAACAAAAATTACGTAATTAATGTGAATGATCAACTATACATTATACAAGTAAAAACATACTGTATTATGCAAAACACTCTATTATGCATACATAAATACATATTTTAGGCCTACAGTATGTTAATTACACTTTATTCAAAACATTCAATAAAAAAGCAGAGACTTGGCCTTTTCATAAGTAAGGTTTATTTAATTTATGTCACTGTAAAACACACATTTGGCTTTCCTGTTCATAGAATTCAACAGCAGACATTCACAAATCAAAACTGATTTGATAGGTTAACAAATTGACCAAAAAGCAATCAAATGCACTGTGTCAATCATTGTACACTGAACTAGTGTGACCTATAGACATTTTCTGTATTCATATAAGCTTGACTGACACTCTGGGATTCACATACGTTTACACTCTTCACTGTGTATGGTTTACATGCTGTTCAATACCGACAAGAAAACAACTGTTTGTGTGTTAAGCAGGCTGTTTGTCTATCGTTCCAAACGGTTCACATACTTTAACCCACAACTGTAAATTTAGTATTTTATCATCATTTCTGTTTTTGCTTTCTTTATTTGACAAGCCCTGTAGTAGTACATACATCAACACTTCATGTAATCACCAAATTGAAGAAAATGTTCAAGCATTCACAATATTCAAAATGTCACGTACAACTGACTCACTAGTGAGGAGGACTAGGATCACCTCTTCCTAATTTATATAAACTGTTACTGTATATGAAATCAGGCACTGTTAGGTTTTTAGGTGATTATGCTGTTGAGAATAGAGCTATTAATGTGACTTTTTTTAAACCAGGGACACTACAGGAAAAAATAAGAGAAGCATAGTGGTTAGGTGAATCTTTCTCAATTTGGGCATAATTCAAATGTGCAAAATCTTACATACTGTAGGTTTAACACTACAACACAAAATAGATTTCGTTCTGGGATTGGAAAAGTTTAGAGAAAAATGCATAAAACCTAAAACTACTTAAACATATTTAATTCTGAATTTAGTTCAACTATAGATTTTGCTGTAATTCAAGTGACAAAATCTTTGTACATTTTCTCTGTATTATACAGGTGCATCTCAAATTAGAATGTCGTGGAAAATTTCATTTATTTCAGTAATTCAACTCAAATTGTGAAACTCGTGTATTAAATAAATTCAATGCACACAGACTGAAGTAGTTTAAGTCTTTGGTTCTTTTAATTGTGATGATTTTGGCTCACATTTAACAAAAACCCACCAATTCACTATCTCAACAAATTAGAATACTTCATAAGACCAACAAAAAAAAGAACCAAAGACTTAAACTACTTCAGTCTGTGTGCATTGAATTTATTTAATACACGAGTTTCACAATTTGAGTTGAATTACTGAAATAAATGAACTTTTCCACGACATTCTAATTTATTGAGATGCACCTGTAATAGCCTACATGAAGGACAGTAAAAAAGTTTCCCATGCCTTGGATTCGACAATTTATGAGAAAGTAAATCTAAAATTCAAATTTTTTTGGATTGCTACAGATAAATAACCACTTTTTTTTTATTTTTTTACTTGCATTCTTTTCACTTCCAGACTGCATTCCATGTATACTGACTTAAACATTTTATATCAATCATCTAGCAAAATACATCAAATGAGATTAAAAACTGAAATTGTGCTCATTTTGTTTATTTGCCATGTTTTCATTTCTTGAGGCTGAGTGAGGCGGGGTCGAAAAGGTCAGAGGTGTTGAGAGAGTTAAAGATCACTCTCTCCGTACAGGGCTGTGGAGAAGGCAGTGTAGTCCAGGGCTCCAGGCAGAGCCCCGGGGCCGGAGTATGGGGGCATCCTGCTGATGCAGTACTCTGCCTGGTCTGGAGGAAGCTCTTGCCTCAACTCATCTGCCAGAATATATGGCTATTCAAAACACAATAAACAACAGATAAGGAATACAGAAAGAATTTTTCAGGTACAAAAGACTGTTCTGAAGAGAACTGTTAAGGTTAAGCAAGCAACACACACACACACACGCACCTTGTCTGCAGCGAGGATCCTGAAGGAAGCGATGACCTGTTCAGCTGTGTCTGTATCCGCCGTCTCTCTTGTCATGAAGTCAATGAAAGACTGGAATGACACAACGCCTGAAGCATTTGGATCAACCAGCATCATGATCCGAGCAAACTCCACCTCACCCTGAAAAAAACACACACAGACATTTATAGCATTTAAATACTACCCCATCATTGTAGTGTGTTGAAATTCATTTGAGTATACGTATATATATATATATATATATATATATATTTTTTTTAAA